AACCCCAAACCCTAAACCCTTCCTTCGTGGCAGGAAAGGCTTCGTCACACGTAGGGAGCTGCTCTTTGCGCTGAACTCGAGGGAGGCCTGCAATTAGGTGGTATTATTCGGAGTACCCCTTAAAGGGCACCCCTTCTGAACCCTACTTTTGGCTCTCTTAAAAGGGACCTTATTGAGAGAGTCTATATCCTCAAGGGTCCCCCTAATCCTAGCTCCCATGCAATGGCCTTGAAGGCTTTCGGAAGGATCTTCTCAGGCTTCTGCAACGGTTTAGGGTTTAGGGTTTAGGGCTTAGGGTTTAGGGTTTAGGGTTTAGGGTGCCAGAATAAGTAGAATAGGGGTTCCTTATTATAACTATACTATAGGGGCCTTAATAATTAGAATAGGGTTTTGGGGGGTTCCTTACTATGATTGTACTATAAAATACACCCCCAAAACCCTAGTCTAGTTGTCAAGGCCCCTACATTAGGGAATCTTAGGTGCCTTACCTCAACTAGGGGAAGCTTCTGCACAAGGCCCAGCACACCTGAATATCCAACTGACTGCGAACAGCAATGTCGTCAACGAACATGGGAGCTGCAAGCAGATCCAGCCGATCTAGCCACCCCTCATGCAGGATCTCTACCAGCAATTTTGCTACTTCTACCTCCAGTCCGCGGAGCAGGCTCCTGCTGTGGCGCTGTGTGTCAGGTATACTGCACCTTCGTCATGCACGGGAGGGGTCTGTCATGGCGAAGTCGATAAGATGCTAGCTCTTATAAGGACCTCGAACACCTATGTAAGACCCTATGACAGAAAGCGAAAGCCTGCATAAGAGCTTTAGTGGCCCACAGATCCTTTGCGAAATTGCGCATCCAGGACGGTCCTGAAGATCTGGATCGCTTGCAGGCTGCAGGGTGCCTTGAGGGTGCCAAAAAATGCTTAGATGGGTTTAAGCCTCAGGGTTTAGGGTACATGTTCAGGGTTACAAGTAGGGGTTCAGGATCTAAGGCTTCAGGGTTTCGGATTCAGGGAGTTCAGAAGAGGACTGACCGTGTCCTTGGAGTTGTTTTTCAGAGCTTAAGAGCCTTGGTCCCTTTCGTGAGGTGCCGAGGTGTGCTTCTGGCAGATGCTGTCACTCAACAGGATGTACATGTCGCCTAGAACCCAGAATCTCAAACCCTGAAGGTTATCAGAGATGTGCCTCAAAACTTTGGCCCATTTTTTCCGAGTCTTTCCAGTAGGCGGCCGACCTGCCAGTGGTGGACGACTGGTTAAGTGCTCACAGAGCGCCGAGCCCAGACTTATGCCTCTGGCTGCTAGTACCCTCGCAAGCGTCTCCAAGAAGCCTTGAGCCCAGCTTACTTTTTGGGGTATAGGGTTTGGGAAACCCTAAACCCTAAACCCCAAAACCCCAAACCCCTAAATACTAAACCCTAAACGGGTTTGGGGTTCAGGGGGTTCTGGTTTCTTAGAGGGTGAACTGATGGCGACTCCAAGGTTTGTAATCTCGCCGTCAGTGCTCCGACTCAGGCAGCGAACATCCAGCGAACTGCGAGAAGCTGAGATTACAGGGTTTCGGGTTTAGGGGTTTAGGGGTTCAGGGGTTTAGGCTTTAGGGGCTTGGGGTTGCCCCCAGTTGAACCACCAAGGAGAGATTTTTGTTGCAGAAGTAGGTTCATCTCCCTGCCTTGAGGAAAGGCTGCGCCTTGCAATGAAGGCTGCGTGTCGATAACTGCTCAGGAATGGGAGACGCAAGCCCACAGCTATGTGTTTGAGGAGCTTGAGTTGAAGCCCGTGTCATTAAGCCATGTTAGACCATTCAGCTTGACTTCCAGGAGACCCCTACAAAACAAGTTCGCGGCAGGACCTGCTCTCAGTTGCTGAGTCGTTCGAACTCGCAGCTGCTCTGGTTATGACAAGTTCTGAAGAATGCAGCCTTGGTCGTGGAGGGGGCCATGCTGCTGAGGAAGAGCTTGATTTTCCGCCGAAGCCTAGAATTCCTGGACGAGGCATACAAACAGGTCCCTAGCTCAACCGGCTTTGTGCTGCTCTACTGGTGCTGTCACCCTTTGAAGACTTGCAGAATCTGCCTCGTAAGCCTAGTGCAAGGTGTGCCTGCTTCGTGCACCGACACAGGCGCACCAGTTCGGAAGGGGGCGGATGGGGGGGGGGGGCAGTGCTGCAGAAGCAGAAACGGCTCTGCAAGGTTGGGTCGAGCCAAAGGCTCTACCAGAAGTGCTACAACATCACCCTGGAGATTCTGATTCACTACTTCAGGATGCAAGGCTCTGCCCAGCGATTGAGCACGCTTCTAGTACGCGGCCCTATCGCAGCAACTGAGATGTTTGTATTGGTACTTCAAGACCTTGCAGAGCAACCACTGCTGAAAGGCTTGCTCCTGGAGTACCAGACCGCACCGATTCTGAATCTTCTGCCCGAAGACCGAACGGTCTGGGTGCGCCTTGCCGAACTCTTCCGGCGCGTAGGCAGAGCTAGAGCGGCATAGCGTCAACGTGCCAGGTGGATCAAGTCCCGCCGGTGTTCCAAGCTCTTCAAGCTAGCCGAGGCCCATCTTTTCGCATCTTTTCGCGCAGCCAGAAACAGGTGGTCTCACATAGATTGGTGGCCCCGGTTGTCGTTGAGCAAGCATTCGTGTTCTCCCAGTTTTCTCCTTGCAGACAGCAGGTGGTGCAACCACGGCTGAGGCGCTTTCCACAGCTCGAGGGTGTGGTAAAGTGTTGCAGGGGCGGCTTCTGAAATGGGTAGTTCTCTTAATTAGGGTCCCTTTTAAGGTCCTTTTCATAAGGGTGCCGTACTATATTGGGCATCCAAAAAGGACCCTAATTTAGGAAATTACCCATGTTCTATTGAATCTGGACATTGTTTGGGGCTTTCAGGACATCACCCGTACCCCTACCCGCAGATCTCGCAACCGGTCTCAACGCCGACCTTGCAGCTCGTGCAGGTTCTCGGCGAGTTCAGCTCAGAGGACCTCCGCACCCTTTGCTCTGCGATGATCCAGCATGTTGAGGGTTTCCTATCAGTTCGAAGTGCCCTGAGAGTTTAGCAGAAGCCTTGATGATGGTACAGTGGGCGGGGGCTTGAGGGGGGCCTCGTATGTTCGGCAGGCGATTTCCGAGAAGTTGAGTTCAGAAGTTTTGCATACCTCAGCCAGCCCCTTCGCCAGCCGTCCTCTGCAGATTCATCAAAGGATGTGGGGTTGATGGCGACGCTGACGAGCTTATGACTAACATCAGTTGCTGGCAGATTCCTTTGCCGCAAACTTCATGCGAAGCTGTAGATGTGCCATGCCACGGCAACTCGTTTCAAACAAAGTGGAACCTGCCTAGCCCTAAATCTTTAACCAGACACATGCAACAGTGCTCAGATGCAACATGCTAGTTGTAGTAACCATAAACAGATATGGGTGGTTGTCAAAATTATGCTCCCTTTTTGGGTCCTTATTATAATACGGCACCTATTATTTAGGGTACCCCAAAAGGAACCATAATTTTGACAACTTCCCATATTCCAGAGCCGAAGCATGCTGAAGCATACTCCAGACCCTGGGTGGAGTCACTTAGCTGGCACATGGGGGTTTCCGAAAATAGGGGACCCTAATATAGCACCCTAAATAGTAGGATCCTTATTATAAGGACCCCAAGATAAGGTGCCCCTAATTTAGAGAACTACCCACATCTTCTCGATGCATCCACTCCTCGATGGGCTCTCGGCATTCCCGCCGTCGAGGTCTCAGTATGAAGGGAAGTTGCGGTACGGTTGATGATATACATCCTGCATTACCTGTAATAAGGAATATACCATAGTTCCCATAGTTCAGAGTCCTTAAGGTAATGCAGGATTTATATCATAAGCCGTAGTGGCAGTGGCCTTGCTTGGGGGCCTGAGATGGGTCCGTCCGGGCTGACAGCATGGGAGCCAAGGGTGCAGCGATGACGACAAAGAGGCTCCGGGGATCAAGTTCGGGTCTCTGCTTAGATTTCGACTCAGGATTGCTACGGTCATGAGTGCCCGTTCTTTGGTGGCATGAGCGGCCAGCGATGTGCAAATGAAGCCGACTTTGCCGATGAATCCTGGCAGGAAAGCAGGAGCCAGAGCCTTAGGCTACGGAATGCTCCGGCAGAGAGACTGAGCTCAAAAGTCCCAAAAAAAAAGAGCTGCACTCCGAGGGAGCATCCGGCCTGGTATTCCAGGACAAGGAGCTGCTTCTTGATGACTGCCCCTCTCCGCTTGGCCTCGGCCTTTGAACATGGGCAGAGGTTGCTTGTGTACCCTTAAGCACACAGGTCCTGCGATGCCGAACCCGAACCCCCTCCATGGGGCAGTGAGTGCACTCCAGGCACGCCGCTGCAATTTCAGAAGCGATGTAGAGCCTTTGCAGATTTGGGGTCTGACCTTTGTGCATAAGACGTCCATAATCGCATTCTGCCACCTTGTCGGTATCACGGGCGAGGTGCTGCTGAACCAGGCGTCGAAGCACGAGGTTGCGGCAAATCTGCCCTGATCATGATGGCCAAAGTTTGGGAGAGTTTTGTTCCTACACAATCCACAATGCAGGCTGCGGCAGACAGCTCAAAGAGGACCCACAAGGGAGTGCAGGGTCAGTTTCAGTGAAGTGACTGCAAATGTGGCCAGCAGTTGCACAGATTTGGGCTAAGGTGCCGGCTTTCCATCCTGCTGTGCAGGATCGATCCTTTTGTCGATGCTCGGGATGCCACGGAGGTCTGCGGACTGGACGGGCTTGCGAAAACGCTCGGCGTGCAACATCCTGGCATTGAGAGCTCACGCGTGTTGCAGGGAAGAGGAAAGTCTTGTGAGCACCAAGGCCTCTGCAGAAGACCTGTGGGACTCCCTGGCCTCTGGGAAGGCTGCCAAGGGGCCTTGGGTTCTCTTCATATGCATAGCTCTGAAGCTCAGTACCCATCGCAAGACCTGGATTCCTGGACCCTGTCATGCAGAGGGCGAGGCGAAGAAGCCAAGCTGCCGGCGGGCGCAGGCACGAACCACATGTGGCTGGTTGTAGCAGCAGGAACAGCCTAGATGACGCGGTTTCCAATGCCCTCCTGTAGCCTAATCTGCCGCAACTCCTCAAAAACGCTTCCGCATGCTGTCGCACAAAGCTTGGCTGCCGCTTATCTTCGACATCCCGCAGCTTTCTCTGGAAGCAGAGGCTCCGAAGCTTGAGCTTCTCAGTGCTTTCCGGCTCGCGATGGAGGTATCCGCGACCGTGGCAAATCTGATGCAACAGATCAACCAGTTGGAAGATGCAGACTTTCAAAACATCTGTGGGCTGATCGACAAGGCCCGGGAGGAACGGCTGACCCCTACGGTTTTGGTCACAGTCCGCCAGCTGGGAGGAGAGCATCTCCTTGGACCACAGCTGATGCCACTGTCGACTACGACGCTGAAGCTGAAGGGGCTGCTGTCTACCTCGATTGGGGCACGGGTTGAGGAGATGGACCTCCTTTGTGGCACGGCAGTCCTAGAGCCGACAGACACGCTGGCATCGTTGGGCGATCATTTTCAGGGAAATTTGGACCTCATCCGGCGTGCCGAGCGGATGAGGATTGCGAAGCACAGGATTCCTGGCGTCTTCATTGCGACGAGCTGTGAGAACAACCGGGTTCTGGTTGTTCCAGGTGCAAAGGCCTGGGACCAAGAGCATCTCCATCAGCCAGACGTTGCAAGCCAGGACACGCTGAAGCAACTGCAAATCTCGGACGCAACCTTCCGTACCTGGAGCCCGTTTCGATCCCACATCGCGGCAGCTATCGTTTGTGGAATTAGTAAGACTCCGAAATGGAAAGGCGAGCGACTGTTTGCTGTTAACATGTCCGCTGCCGAGCTGTCCTTTCTGGCAGACTTGGTTGGTGAAGGAGGCGCTGTGATATATTCACCCGAGGTCGATGTTGAATGCGCCTCGAAGCTCAAGGAACACTGGCCACAGACGCACCTCACAGAAGGCTCTAGCACAGAGAGATTTCATTCAATGTTGCTTAGAGGAAGTGTGGAGCTCCATCAAACACATCTGGACCGGATGACGTCGCTGCTCCTTCCCGGTGCCGTGGTGATGTGGGTTGTTGAGCTGGACGGGAAGCCTGTAGTGCCCACAGCGGAGTTCGCCAGAACGGTCGGTATCATCCGGCAGTCCGGCTTGAAGCCTCTGGAGCAGCTGACGCTGGAGCCCTACTTCGAGAAGTCTGCCGTGATCGTCTCCACCACGGGCCGAAACTGGCCAGAGTGAAGCTCTGAAGCTGGAGCTAGGCCCCACTGATCAGAGCTCGTGCTGTCGCGTGCCCGAAAAAGGATCAAACATGCCGGGCCTTTGCACCATAATATGGTATACTATATTATTACAGTATAGTATGGTATAAGTATTACTACAATGGAAGCCTCTGCATGCTGAAGCAGGTTGTGCAGGCGCAGCAGGCCCGGGGCTGTGCCATAACGCGGCAGATCCCATTCAGAGTCGAGCTTGGAAGCTTTGCCACCGGTGTCCTTCCTTGAGAGGGTTGTGGTATGTTGTGCTCGAAGGAGTTGCATTAGGCCACTCGTCTTTGGCGGGAACGATCTACCAGACTTGGCGCTGTTTTTGAGCCTAATACGAGGCCCTTACCGCAGCGGCCAGATCCTCAGTCAGAGGAAAGATGGGCACAGCTTGCAGTTCCTTGCGCCCAGCCGGATTTACGTCTGAAAGATGCGATGCCGGCCTTGCCCCTAAACCCTAAACCCTAAAACCCCTCTTGGGCTTTGAATCTGTCGCTTTGAACGCTACAGCAAAGGAAAGCCTCGTTTCTATCCTTCTCGAGCTTCGATCTTTTCGCGAGCATAGAGCTGAACACTGGAGAGGGCCCAGGCTGTCGCTGTTGGAATCTGGTCCGAAACCCAAACCATAGTAATTATGGTATAATAAAATATATTATGAGAGTATAGTATGGTAGAATTATACTATGATATAGGGGCCCTAGGAATAACAAGGATAGATGATAGTATAGTATGGTAGAATTATACTATACTATAGGGGCCCTAGAGATAACCATAGTATGGTAGAATTATACTATAATAATATAGGGGCCCTAGGAATAGCCCTAAATCCTAAACCCTAAANNAACCCTAAACCCTAAACCAACAAGGTGGAGGGAATCCTCCGTTCCCTCGAAGATGTCGCCCCGGAGGACTCGGAGCTTGCGCTTCTCGAAGTGGGGATTGGTGGCTCCAAGTTCCTTTAGGGTTTAGGGTTTA